GCTTTTTCCTGTCCCCAAATGCTACTCCTTTGCCCCATTAGTTGTCTGTTTCCCCAGTAGATTGTGGGTGTCAGTCTAAAATGCTGCCCACCTGCCAGAGGATAGTTTAGGAGGCTATGGGGCCATGTGGGGTGCTGTTCCCTGGCCTGTTTGGGGAAGGAGAAAGCAGAAAGGATCTAACCTTTATTGAGCACCTGCTGTGTGGTGTGCCAGGCACTGTGTCCATCTCACCAAATTCTCACAGCAGTCCTGTGAGGTGCTATTCAAATCTTACCATCTCATGGCTAAACAAATGTTCTATTATGAAAAAATTTAAAAATATATCCTGAACCTCTATCACCTAGCACCCCACTTCAACATTTAATAAGTCATGCATAATCTTATTTCATCCATACCTTCATCCACTTCCCTCTCTCCTCCATTGTTTTGGAGTACATCTCAGCCATAATAGATTGCATCTGTGTTTCATTGTGTACATAAACTACTGGGCTCAACTGAAAAGGATTCTTTTAAAAAGTTATACTACTATTCTTACACCTAAAAAAAATCAAACAATAGTTTTCTTGTGAATTTTTTAAATTAAACAAATTTTAAAAAATAGAGATGGGGTCTTACTGTCTTGAACTCCTGGGCTCCAGTGATCCTCCTGCCTTGGCCTCCCAAAGTGCTGGGATTACAGGTATGAGCCATTGTGCCCGGCCATGAATTTTTAATAAATGGTATTAGAACATCTGGATAGTAATTTTGAAAGATATCAAAGTATATTTATTCCTCACATCATATATCAGAATAAACTCCAAGCAGATCAGAGATCTCTATGTGAAAATATAAATCATACACATCCTAGAAGAAAACAAGGCTCTGTATATGGGAAAAGCCCTCCCTTAAAACAAAACAAAACAAGAAAACAAAAAACTATGCCTAAAAATTCAGATGCATGAAAGATTATTACATTCACCCACATTAAAAACAATTTTATTTTTGAGCCAAGGTCTTGCTCTGTCACTCAGGCTGGAGTGCAGTGGTGCAGACAGTGCTCACTGCAGCCTCAATCTCCTGGGTTCAAGTGATCCTTCCACCTCAGCCTCCCAAGTAAGAGTAGCAGGGACCTCAGGTACATGCCACCATGCATTAAAATGAGCATTAAAAATGCTCAGGTGCATTTTAAAAATATTTTGTAGCAACAGGGGCTCGCTGTCTTACCCAGGCTGGTCATGAACTCCTGGGTTCAAGCAGTCCTCCCTCCTCGACCTCCCAAAGTGCTGGGATTGCAGGTGTGAACCACCGCACCTGACCTAAATTTTTTTTTTTTTTTTTGCCTGTGAAAACACCACAAGCAGAGTCAAAAGACAAGTGGCAAACTGGGGGAAGTGATTTGCAAGAGATATCACAAAGGACTAATTTTCCCAATAGAGAGAAAACATTTTTTAAAATAGGGAAAAGAATAAAAACCAAGACCTGACAGAAAAATTGGGAAAGACATGAGTAGACAGTTCACAGAAAAGTATATACAGATGGCTCTTAAACATATGGAGAGATGTTTGACTTCACTCATAATAAGCAAAATGCAAAGTAAGCCCCACTGAGAGATCATTTCTCCTCCATGTGATTGGCAGACATGCAAATGTTTGATCAACACTCTGGCGGTGAGCTTCAAGAATATCCCTCATACAGTGCTAGCAGGAGGGCAAACTGGCCCAAGTCCCATGGAGGGGAATTTGTCAATATCTAAGAAAATTACGTATGTATTTATTACTTGACCCAGCAAGACTTCTAGGAATTTACATGGACAATCTCCACAGATATAGAATACTATGCCAGAGTCATTTACTGCAACATTATTTGCAATAGCAAAGTATTAGAAACAACCTAAATACCCATGGAGACTGGTTGAATAAATTACAGGAATCCAGTCATGCAATGGAGTCAAATGCAGTAATTAAAATAATAAGATGGGCACGGTGGTTCACGCCTGTAATCCCAACCCGGGAGGCAGAGGATGCAGTGAGCTGAGACCACGACACTGCACTCCATCCTGGGTGACAAAGTAAGACTCTGTCTCAAACAAACTAAAAATAATAATAAAGGAAGATCTCTATGCAGTTTCATGGAGTGATTTCTATGGCATATTTTTAAATAAAAAGCCAGAAAACCAAATCAGTTAAATAAACAAAAGCCCCAGGGTGTCAAAGGGTATATATAGTGTTCTATGTTTTATGTAAGAAAGGGCAATTTATTTATTTATTTAGAAACAGAGTCTTGCTCTGTTGCCCAGGCTGGAGTGCAGTGGCGCAATCTCAGCTCCCTGCAACCTTTGCCTCCCAGGTCCAAGTGATTCTTGTGCCTCAGCCACCTGAGTAGCTGGGATTACAGGCGTGTGCCACCATGCCTGGCTAATTTTGTATTTTTCGTAGAGATGGGGTTTTACCATGTTGGTCAGGCTGGTCTCGAACTTCTGACCTCAGGTGATCCTCCTACCTCGGCCTCGCAAAGTACTGGGATTACAGGCGTGAGCCACCTTGCTTGGCCTTTAGTGGTGATTTCTGAGATTTTGATGCACCCATCACCCAAGTAGTGTACACCGTACTCAGTGTGTTGTCTTTTATCCCTGATGCCCCTACTACCCATCTCCGCTGATTTTTACTTAATAGATTTGTGATAGGTAGTAGCAGTTGTATAGCAATTCTGAAACTGCTTTGAATATTGAAGGACAGAACAAATAAGTAAATATATTGATGTTATTGGGAAATAAGTTCTCACTGAAGGAGAAGGGAGACACAAATATGGAATGGGGGAAGATGAGAAAAATCCTTTAGAGTTTGATTTTATTTGGAGCCATCAGTATCTACTAATGACTGCCAAAGAAATGATGCCCAGAAACAATGGGTACTGAGTGCCCACATCTTGGTTTCTAAATACTATCCCCTGCTAAAAGGAATCAGGGTTCCTTGGAGAAATTGCTGATTCCAGACCTGGGGTAGGGAAGATATCAAATGAGCCTGTGCCAGAAGGGAAGGAGATGCTCAAGGACTGATGGGAACATGTCAGCAGGACAGAGGTGTGAATGGGGCTCCCACTGGACAAATTTGGGATAAACTGCATCAATGAAGATAGTGATCGTAATGGATTAGAACACATGAAATAAAAAAAAATTCATAGTGATATCATGAGAGAGAGAAGGAGAGAAAGAGGAGTAGGGTGGTAGAAAAGAAGAGATTTTTTTTTTTTTGAGACAGAGTTTTGCTCTTGTTGCCCAGGCTGGAGTGCAATGGCACGATCTCGGCTCATTGCAACCTCTGCCTCCCAGGTTCAAGCGATTCTCCTGCCTCAGCCTCCTGAGTAGCTGGCATTACAGGTGCCCAGCACTACCCCCAGCTAATTTTTTGTATTTGTAGTAGAAATGGGGTTTCACTATGTTGGCCAGGCTGTTTTGCAAACTCCTGACTTCAGGTGATCCACCTGCCTTGGCCTCCCAAAGTGCAGGGATTACAGGCGTGACCCACTGTGCCTGGCTGAAAAGCTCATTCTTATAGTAGAATGCCAATAAATGTGGAAGGAATGATAGGAATTAGGTAATCACTATTTTGCAACCTCCAGTATAATAATTCATTTAGGCAAGGGTCATAAATTGACGCTGAATCCATTGGTGAAGGATTTTGGGGGAACAGAATAGTCACATAGTCTCAAAGTATGGGAAAGACACAAAGACACAAGATCACCTACGTAGAACTCTTGTCAAAAGGATTAACGTAAGTCTAATCATGAGGAAACAATCAACTAAATCTAGTGCTAAAGCATCCTAAAAACTACTGGCCTGGAGTCTAAAAATGTCTAGGCTGGGTGCAGTGGCTCACGCCTGTAATCCCAGGCTTTGGGAGCCTGAGGCGGGAGGATCGCTTGAAGCCCAGAGTCTGAGACCAGCCTAGGCAACGTAGTGAGACCCTGTCCCTACAAAACAAAAACAGAAACAAAAAAACAAAACAACAAATGTCCTGAAAGTCTAAAAGTTTTTGGGATCTGTTCTAGATTAGAGGAGAATAAAAAGATGTGTCAACCAAATACAACATATGATCATCAATTGGATCCTGAATCAGAAAAAAATAGAACTATAAAGGATACTTTTGGGACAAGAGTAGACATTTGAATATGGACTGTCTTACATAATATGTTAATGAATCAATGTGCAATTTCTTGCAGGTGATAATGGTATTGTGGTTTATGCAGCAGAATGTCTTTGTTCCTATGAAATACATACTGAAATACTTTGGGATAAAGTGGCTTGTGTTGTCTGCAATGATCTTTCAAAGATTCAGAGGGGAAAAAAAGGTCTTCATATATACTCTTGAAATGGAATTCCTTTCTTCCTGACCCACCTAACCTAACACTCCCCCCTGGGCTGGTCACTGGCAAAGGATTCCTTTTCCGTTTTCAGCGCACCTTGGTATGGAACCCGGAGCCAGCAGAGCGACAAATAGGTGTGGGGCCTGCTTCTGGCACCATGTGCTGATTTCATGTCCCCTCATTCACTGGGAACACTGAGTTGAGAGCCTGGAGATGCAAGTTCAAGTCCTAGTGACCCTGGGAAAGTTATTCCACCTCCCTAACTTCCTCATCCGGGGCTTCAGGGTCTTCAAGACCCCACCCAACCATGATGTCCGGTGGAAGAAGCTATTTTTGAATGCCAATGCATATAGGGTCCTGGGAGCTGGGGACAATTTGGTAACTTCTAATGACCCTCTGTGGCAAGGGGATGGAAAGGAAAGTTTGTCCTTTGGTTTCTTCCTTCCCTAAAGTAGGTCTGAGTCATTTTGGGGAAGAAAGGAGATAGCAAGGAAAGAATGTGCACGTGTGGGTATTATTGTGTATCAGTGAGTGAGGAGCTGAAGCTGGGGGCTGGGGATGGGGTGGGGAAAATGCCTGGGGACTGAGGAGGACCCTGCTTGGTGTCTCAGGGCTCCTGGGGAAGCTCCTAGCCACACCTGTTCTGCTTCCATCCCCAGGCCCATGAGAGGCTGGAGGAGACGAAGCTGGAGGCCGTGAGAGACAACAACCTGGAGCTGGTGCAGGAGATCCTGCGGGACCTGGCACAGCTGGCTGAGCAGAGCAGCACTGCTGCCGAGCTGGCCCACATCCTCCAGGAGCCCCACTTCCAGGTTCCTGGCCGCTGGGGCTGGGGTGAGGGAGCAGGAGGTGGGTGGACCGGGGCATGCTGCTGTTGGAGGGGCCGGCAGGAAGTTGGAGCTGGGATGGGAAGAGACCTGGGGCACTGCCCCATTGTCCCTTCTTTTCCTACCACCCCCTAGTCCCTCCTGGAGACGCATGACTCTGTGGCCTCAAAGACCTATGAGACACCACCCCCCAGCCCTGGCCTGGACCCTACATTCAGCAACCAGCCCGTACCTCCCGACGCCGTGCGCATGGTGGGCATCCGAAAGACAGCCGGAGAACATCTGGTGAGGACTGGGCAGGGCCAGAGGCGGGGCTGGTGAGGGTGGGGGATTGAGAATAACCAATGAGGGGACAAAAAAAGGCCAAGCGTGGTCTGAAGATGAAGATGGGGCCAGCTTTGTGCAGGGAAGGGCCCATGCAGACCCAGGAGACCATAGACACTGCACACTCACCTGTGTCCGCATCTCTCCAGTCTGCCCGCTTCCGCCCGCCATTAGTACCTGCTCTAAGTGAAGAATTTAGGCAGAAGGATGGAGGACGACTTTGTGAGTGCGGGGGTGGGTGGGTGGGGACAGGAATGGAGGTGCTATTAGAAGAGTATTTGAAGATTCTGACTTGGAGCAATCGGGTCCTCATCTTACACTCTCCCTCTGACCTCCAGGGTGTAACGTTCCGCGTGGAGGGCGGCGAGCTGGTGATCGCACGCATTCTGCATGGGGGCATGGTGGCTCAGCAAGGCCTGCTGCATGTGGGTGACATCATCAAGGAGGTGAACGGGCAGCCAGTGGGCAGTGACCCCCGTGCACTGCAGGAGCTCCTGCGCAATGCCAGTGGCAGCGTCATCCTCAAGATCCTGCCCAGCTACCAGGAGCCCCATCTGCCGCGCCAGGTGAGCCCCTCCACCAGCCCCTCTCTCAGCAGAAGGCCCAAGGGATGGCCGAGCCTCCTGGCTGTCAGGGTTGCAAGTCTCACTGAGGCCCTCCTCTCCTACTGGTTTCCTCCAGGGGAGATGAGGGTGGGACCTGCAGCCCAGGGGCAGCTGACTGCAGCCGCTGACAGGCCTCTGCCTCTGCTGCACCTGCACGTGCTCCCGCATTGGCCGGCATTACGCATGCAGCCACAGCCTGGGCTCATACCAGAGTGTATGAGAGAGCGCCTGCATCGTGGTCTGCGTTCTTCACATGTTTGTGCGCATGCGCACGGTGGGTGGCGTTGTTGTATGTCCTGGACAACTGTCTCCTAGTTGGTGGATTCTGGGGGTCTGGCTGCTCTATCTACCTCTCCTATTGGCTCTCTCGCCCTCTGCCAGAGCCCTTCTCCAAGGGTAGAGGGTGAGTGGAGGGAGGGATCCAGGATTAGATGCCAAGGTCCTGTCCCCTACTTGGTGGTCCCACATCCTTGGTCCTAAGATCTGAATCCTGTAGTACTAGATGTGAAGGGAGGTTGGCACCAGGGAGGCACATGGGCAGGCCTGGAGGCATCACTCCTGCAGGGGGACAGTTCCATTTCCCCTTGTGTCTTTGTGAAAAGAGGGGGCACGGGGTAGACCTCCACCTGCAGCCTTCTACTGCCCCTTCCCCCGACCCTTTGCTGATTCCTGGGCCCAGGTATTTGTGAAATGTCACTTTGACTATGACCCGGCCCGAGACAGCCTCATCCCCTGCAAGGAAGCAGGCCTGCGCTTCAACGCTGGGGACTTGCTCCAGATCGTAAACCAGGACGATGCCAACTGGTGGCAGGTGAGCCCCGGGCACCCCTGCATCTCTCCAGGTGTGGTACATGGGAGGGCAAGGGCACAGGGAGGGGTCCTCTTGCTCAGGCAGATCTTGGTCTCATGTCCGTTTCAGGCATGCCATGTTGAAGGGGGCAGTGCTGGGCTCATCCCCAGCCAGCTGCTGGAGGAGAAGCGGAAAGCGTTTGTCAAGAGGGACCTGGAGCTGACACCAAACTCAGGTGGGAGGTTCCCCCTTACCCCACATCTCCAATCTGGGATCCGACAGGGCCCTGTCTGCCTCACTCACCCGTCTCCCTATGGCCAGGGACCCTATGTGGCAGCCTTTCAGGAAAGAAAAAGAAGCGAATGATGTATTTGACCACCAAGAATGCAGGTGGGTATCAGAGTGTCCCCCCCTTTGTCCTCCTGTAACATGGCTTGCCTTTCCCTGTCCCCACGCATCACCCATGAAGATGTGTGCCTGGCTCAGATGCTGCCAGCCGTGTCCCTAGGCCCTGCTCGACTCCCCCTTGCTCCCCTGTTCTAAGCCCTCTTGCCCTCAGCCTCCCTGAGAGCTCCGCCCCTCCCTCACCGTGCAGCCTGGTGAGCAGCGCCATCTCCCTGTGTCCAGAGTTTGACCGTCATGAGCTGCTCATTTATGAGGAGGTGGCCCGCATGCCCCCGTTCCGCCGGAAAACCCTGGTGTTGATTGGGGCTCAGGGCGTGGGACGACGCAGCCTGAAGAACAAGCTCATCATGTGGGATCCAGATCGCTATGGCACCACGGTGCCCTGTGAGTGGGAGCTGGGCCCTGCTGAGTCGGGGACAGGGAGCAGGGGCTCCCCTAGGGGCCAGGGCTGAGCCTACCGAATGGGCATCTTCATGGGCGCCAGGCCAGGTGGTACCTTTGGGTGTACGGGTTGGGGTGCACGCCCTCTGTGGGTAGGTAGGGGAACTTCAGGCTCAGGAAGGATGAGGGAGGTGTCCTGCCAACAGGTGGCCTAGTGGGCTGGGCTGGCGTCCCCTTTCCTTCTCTTGTTTCACTTGCTAAAAGCCGTGAAGAAAGTGAGTGCCCAACTGTGCACCCGGGTGAAACCGGCTATGAGCTGTGTATGTGTAGCCTTGTGGAAGACAGGGCTTCTTAGTGGCAGAACCAGCGGGGGTGGGGGAAGCTCCTGGCTGCCAGAGGCAGGACTAAGAGCGCTGCCCTGGTCTGCTTGGCTCTTGCTGTGTGGCTTTGGGCTGTACATTGCCCTTTCTGTACCTCAGCCTCTCATCTGTGGGCTCTGGGTTAGACCAAGGTTACCACCTCATGTCTCTGTGTGTGCCAGTGGGGAGGGTGGGGGGCAGGTGTGTGCAAAGGCAGCAGTGCTGGCAAGATGAGGGGCAGACTGCACCCCCAAGACTGGGAAACGGGGGCTTGGGTAAGTGTGCGTATATGTGTCTGAGGCACTGTGACCTGCCCGTGCCCATTCGGCCCAACCTACCCCCATCCCCCTAGACACCTCCCGGCGGCCCAAAGACTCAGAGAGGGAAGGTCAGGGTTACAGCTTTGTGTCCCGTGGGGAGATGGAGGCTGACATCCGTGCTGGGCGCTACCTGGAACATGGCGAATACGAGGGCAACCTGTATGGCACACGTATTGACTCCATCCGGGGCGTGGTCGCTGCCGGGAAGGTGTGCGTGCTGGATGTCAACCCCCAGGTACTGCCACTCTGCTCCTTCCCAGCCTGCCCAATGTCCTCTCTGCTGCCTCAGTGCTCCCCCATAGTTCCAGGTACCTGTCACCTGAGCACACCCGTGTACCCCCTCTGCCCTCAACTACTGCTTGAAACCCAGCCTACCTGGAATCTTTGTCAGCCTTCCAGAGCCCCCACTCCTCCTCTAGTCTCCTCCAGTCACCCCAGCCACCTGCCAGCTATTTGTCGTTTGTCCCAGGACTCATGTCCCAGACCCCTAGGCACCCTTTTCCACCCACTCCCAAATGCCCACCCCAACCCTAGTCACCCTCACAGCCTTTCTCTGGTTCCCAGGACAGACATGGGGATATGCTCCCTACCCTACCTTCTCCTTCTGCAGGCGGTGAAGGTGCTACGAACGGCCGAGTTTGTCCCTTACGTGGTGTTCATCGAGGCCCCAGACTTCGAGACCCTGCGGGCCATGAACAGGGCCGCGCTGGAGAGTGGAGTGTCCACCAAGCAGCTCACGGTGAGGGCTCTGAGGTGTGGGGGAGGCGTCCAATGGCTGCCTAGGGTGGTGGGGGACAGGCCTGAGCTGACAGAGAGAGAGAAGGAGGTGGTGTTGGGGAGGGACAGGGGCCTGCTCCAGTTATCGGTGAGGCAGGACGTGGTCCCCCACTGCGTAGATGTGGAACGGGAGGTCTGAGAGAGGAAGTCCAAAGTCTCAGAGTGAGCCAGGCACACAGCTAGCCTGGGACACATGTGCTTCTGACTCCAGGCCCCCAGCTCAGCCCACTCTGCAGGGGCAGAAAGCTGGCCAGAGAGAGTTCCAGAGGGCCAGTGGAAGAGGTGGGCAGGAGGTGGGCCAGGTGAGCTTGGGTTGCTTATAGCTGGGGGGAAGCTGAAAGGTAGGAGAAAGCCAGAGGCGGGAAGGCTGGCTGGAGGGGTGAGTCAGTGTAAGAGAGCAGGCAGTGCCTGGAGGAGAGGCTTCAAGCCTGCATTGCAGGACTCCAGCCCCTTCTTCCTTCCTCCCTGTGTCTTGCTGCGCCTTCCCAGGAGGTGGAGGGTTTGCAGAGCTCTGAGTGCAGGGGTCCCTCTGCTGGCCATGCCTGGTGCTGCTGCACTCAGGCCCCGGGTACAAAAGGTACAAAAAGGTCACACAGACAGTCAGTGGCTAAACAGGGTCTGCCTGACTCTCAAGTCAGTGCTCCCTCAAGTCTGACTAGGCTGCCTTACCTATGCAGCATGACAGGCTGGTACCAGGGCAATCCACAAGTACCCAGGACAACCCCACCCTCTAGCATGGCTGGGGCCCAGAAGAGGCTGTCTAGGCTGGCACCCTTCTGCCAGTGACCCCCTTAGGAGCTCTGGACCCTTGCCTGATTCCCATTCTGGGCACCTCCTCCTTGGCAAAAGGTGTGGCCAACCGGAGCTGCTGGGATATAGCTAGCTTCAGCTTATTTAAGTCAGTTGTCAAGTACCCTTCCCCACCCCTGCCCAGCCAGCTTCCACTGGGTCGAGGGTGGGGTTGTCCTGGGTACTTGTGCCCTGGTACCAGCCTGTCATGCTGCATAGGTAAGGCAGCCTAGTCAGACTTGAGGGAGCACTGGCTTGAGAGTCAGGCAGACCCTGTTTAGCCACTGTCTGTGTGACCTTTTTGGACCTTAATTTTCTGTTATAAATGGGGAAGAATTAATGCTACTTTGCAAAGCTGTAGTGAAGATTATGTGGCATGCAAAGCATTTAGGGGTGTGATTGGCAGTTACTAAAGCTTATTTCCTCCCTTTCACTCATCATCTGTTTGTGGTCGATGGTGAGCCACTTTGAGGCAAACAGAGAGGGGCCCCTCCCTCCCTAGCCAGGGAGTCCACACCAGGGTTGGGCTTTGGGGAGGGGGAGTGGGGGAGCTGTAGCTCCTTCTGACAGTGGGGGTGAGTTGTAGGAACTGACTGTAGGGAGGTCCCCTTGTGCCTGGGCAGGAGGCGGACCTGAGACGGACAGTGGAGGAGAGCAGCCGCATCCAGAGGGGCTACGGGCACTACTTTGACCTCTGCCTGGTCAATAGCAACCTGGAGAGGACCTTCCGCGAGCTCCAGGCGGCCATGGAGAAGCTACGGACAGAGCCCCAGTGGGTGCCTGTCAGCTGGGTGTACTGAGCCTGTTCACCTGGTCCTCAGCCCACTCTGTGTTGAAACCCAGAACCTGAATCCATCCCATTCCTGACCTGTGACCCCCTGCCACAATCCTTAGCCCCTATATCTGGCTCTCCTTGGGTAATAGCTCCCAGCAGGCCCTAAGTCTGGCTTCAGCACAGAGGCGTGCACTGCCAGGGAGGTGGGCATTCATGGGGTACCCTGTGCCCAGGTGCTGCCCACTCCCAATGCCCATTGGCCACCAGATATCTCTGAGGGCCAAGCCATGCCCAGGAATGTGTCAGAGTCACCTCCATAATGGTCAGTACAGAGAAGATAAAAGCTGCTTTGGGACCACATGGTCAGTAGGTACACTGCCCCTTGCCACCCCTCCCCAGTCACACTCCTCTGGACTGGCCACACCCACCCCATTCCTGGACTCCTTCCACCTCTCACCTCCGTGTCACAGGAGCAGGCCTTGGGCTGTTTCCATGTGGCCAGGGGAATGCATGTCCCACTGGCAGCCAGACAGGCCTGGGTGGTGGTGCCAGCCTGGTGCCATCTTGAAGGCTGGAGGAGTCAGAGTGAGAGCCAGTGGCCACAGCTGCAGAGCACTGGAGCTCCCAGCTCCCTCAGAAAGGGGCAGGGTCACAGGCAGATGCTGCTCGGTCCCTCCCTCATCCACAGCTTCTCACTGCCGAAGTTTTTCCAGATTTTTCCAATGTGTCCTGACATGTCAGCCCTGCTCCCCACAGGGCCAAGCTGGCAGGGGTCAGTGGGCTCAGCCCAGGTAGGCGCAGGATGGAGGGCTGAGCCCTGTGACAACCTGCTGCTACCAACTGAAGAGCCCCAAGCTCTCCATGGCCCACAGCAGGCACAGGTCTGGGTTCTGTGTCCTTGACCTTGGTCCATTTTGGTTTTTTCTCTAGCCAGGTCCAGGTAACCCACTTGCGTCAGGGCTGCCGGGTTGGAGGGGCTGAGGAGGAGTTCAGAGGGGACCTTGGGAGCCTGGGCTTGAAGGACAGTTGCCCACCAGGAGGTTCCTCACACACAACTCCAGGGGGCGCCATTTACACTGTAGTCTGCACAGCCTGTGGTTCCATGTGCATGCTTGGCGCCTGTCTGTGCCTCTGGCACTGGGGTGTGTGTATATGTATGTGCGTGTGTGTGTGTGTGTGTGTGTGTGTGTGTGTGTGTCAGGTTTAGTTTGGCGAGGAAGCAAAGGATTGTTTTGTTTTGGAGGTCTCTCTTTGGGGCCCCTTTCTGGGGGTTCCCCATCAGCCCTCATTTCTTATAATACCCTGATCCCAGACTCCGAAGCCCTGGTCCTTTCCTGATGTTTTCTCCCTTGTCCTATTGTCCCTCTACCCTAAATGCCCCCCTGCTGTAACTTGGGGAGGGCAGTTTTGTAAAATAGGAGACTCCCTTTAAGAAAGAATGCTGTCCTAGATGTATTTGGGCATCTCATCCTTCATTGTTCTCTGCATTCCTTCCGGGGTGAGCCTGTCCTCAGAGGAGACAACCTGGGACACCCCAAGTCCAAACCCCTGTGCCTCCCAGTTCTTCCAAGTGTCTAACTAGTCTTCTCTGCAGCGTCAGCCAAAGCTGGCCCCTGAACCACTGTGTGCCCATTTCCTTGGGAAGGGGAAGGAGAATAAACAGAATATTTATTACAAATGTTAGAATATATTTCTTATACTAGGAATCTCATTTGCATTTGCATACAGTATACACATGGGGTGGAAAGGCCAGGCCTGCGCCCATCTCGTTGGTGTGCCTCTGCATATACTACGCACTCATCTTCCTGCTCCTCTTTTCCCTTGATCAGTGTCCTTTCATCCTAGTTCAGCTGTCCCTTGCATCACCCTCAGCCTAAGGGAGTGGGAAGGAAATGGGGTGTTTTCCTGCTGACTTGAGGCTATGGGGTCACTTGCCACTTCCTACCTTCCCTGGGGGACTTGAGGGTAGAGGTGACTTGAGGGTAGAGGCAGGGGAAGATTTGTTGTTGCAGCTGCCTCTGCCCCCTTGGTCCAAATGACCATCATCTCTGATGGAGATGGGTTGGGTACCTGGCCCTCATGGCACCCTCACTGCTAGTGATGCCAAGGGGCAGGCCTAGGAGCCCTTCCCTCCTGTCTCTTCTCAGTCCTTCCTCTCTGAACAGCTTCCTACCTCCCCTGCCTGAGCCCCACTCCACAGCCCTCCCAGGTACCTATCAAGTGGGAGCAGAGGCTGTCAGTCCTTGGCTCACCTGGGACAGGACTGGGGCTGGGTTGGAACAGGTGTGTGTGCCCACCACATTAGCTCTGTGACTCTTCTCCCTCCCTGCATTGTGGACTCTTGTATTTGAGGGACCTCAGGAGAGTGAGGACCCTACCATCCACTGTCCATGTTCAGTCCCAGCCCCAGTGCCCTTCCTCTGTCCCCTCCCTCAGCCATCCAATTCTTGAGTTTTCTCACTGACTGTTTTTTTCTTTTCCTTGGATTAAATGTGAAAGCAAAGACTTCTGGCTCTGCTTGTCTTTAGTTGGGGTTGGTGGATGGCTTTGGGAGAAAGTGAGAGCTGGGGAGCACAGCACAGATGACTCTAGAATGGAAGTCAGAGTGACATGTCTTGTTTTCTGCAATGTCTTCCTTTCCTGTCTTGCCCCTGCACACTCCCCTTCCCCAGAAGATGCTCCTTCTAAGTGCTCGTACCCAAGGACATGAACAGACATTTCTCAAAACAAGACATACAAGTGACAATGCATGAAAAAGTGCTTAATGTCACTAATCATCAGAGAAATTCAAACCAAAACCATGATGAGTTACCATCTCACACCAGTCAGAATGGCTATTATTAAAAGGTCAAAAAATAAGATGCTGGTGAAGTTGCAGACAAGAGGGAGTGCTTATACCCTATTGGTGAGAATGTAAGTTAGTTCAGCCCCTGTGGAAAGCAGTTTGGAGATTTTTCATAGCACTACCATTCATTCCAGCAATCCCATCACTGGGCATCTACCCAAAGGAGAAGAAATCATCTCACCAAAAAGATACCTGCACTGGTGTGATTGTCACTACGGGACTGAACGTAGGACGAACGCCACTTGTGACAGTTACTATGGGACTGAACAAAAGAGGATGAACACAGAAATGAAAACTTAACACAAAAGAATCTGCTTTAAAGAAGGAGTCGTTGCTTTTGCTTCTAGTGAGCAAGGGCCCTGAGCTTCCACAGCCCTCCATATTTATTGGGCAGAAAGAGCAGGGAGGAGCAGGTAACCATTGGTCAGCTGCTTGATTTATCACAGGTTCACATGATTGCTAACAGGCTTCAGGTATGCCTGTAGATAATCACAAACACTGTGCCTGGGGCGTGACTGCCCTCAGCATTCCTTCTGGGCGGCAGACGCAGTTTGTCAGTTTTTTGCCAACATTCTGCATTTATGAGAACAGTTTGCTGTTTGCTCATAAAGCCTTCAGTGGTATACTGAGTTGATCACGACCCTCGTTCTTTTGGCCTCCAACACACTTGTATGCTTATCGTAGCACTATTCACCATAGCAAAGACAAGGAATCAATTTAAGTGCCCATCAGTGGTGGATTGGATAAAGAAAATGTGGTACATATACACCATGGGATACAGTGTAGCCATAAAAATAATGAAATTGGCTGGGCGTGGTGGCTCACTCCTGTACTCCCAGCACTTTGGGAGGCAAAGGCAGGTGGATCACCTGAGGTCAGGAGTTCAAGACCAGGCTGGCCAACATAGTGAAACCCTGTGGCTGCCAAAAATACAAAAATTAGCTGGGTGTGATGTTGTACACCTGTAGTCCCCCAGCCACTCCAGAGGCTGGAGGCAGGAGGATTGCTTGTATTGCAACCTTGGAGAGACAGAGTCACATCAGTGAGCCAAGATCGTGCCACTTGCACCTCCTAGCCCTGTGGTGACAGAGTTGAGACTCCGTCTCAAAAAACAAAAAAAAAAAAGAAATCATGTCCTTTGCAGTAACATGAATACAGCTGAGGCCATTATCCTGAAAGCAAATTAAACATAGAAGAACATGATAAATCAAATAACCATTTATTGGCCTCTAATTCCTTGATTGAGCTAAACATTATTAGGTATCTACATGTGACATAAAGTGTGCAACAATAGACACTGGGGATGATGAGAGAGTGGAGGGAGGAGGAGGGAGGGAGAGATGACAAGGGGTGAAAAATGACATAGTTTGAACAGGGCCAGGGCCAATGGCTCACATCCTGTAATCCCAGCATTTTGGGAGGCCGAGGCAGGGGAATCTCCTGAGGGTCGGGAGTTCAAGATCCAGCCTGGCCAACATGGAAAACCCACCTCATACTAAATATACAAAAATTAGCCAGGTGTGGTGGACACACACTTGTAATTCCAAGCTAACTTGGGAGACTGGAGACCAGGACAATCCTCTGGAACCTGGGAGGCAGAGATTTGCCAGTGAGCCAAGTATCGTGCCATTGGCACTCCCCACCTAGGGGACAGAGCAAAACTCTGTCTCAAAAAAAAAAAAAAAGAAAAAAAGAAAAAGGAAAAAGAGAGAAAAAGAAAACGGACATATTGCCGAACATATTGGGTTCTCTAGTACACTATTTGGGTGACAGGTTCAACTAGAAACCAAAACCTCCAGCATCAAAAATCATGCCGTATGTTAGAGCTAAACCTGGACGTGTACCCCCTAAATCTAAAAAATTAAAAAAAAAAATGCCCTGCGACCAAGGGTGTGCTGCGAGCATTCCATGGGCGTATGAGGACCCAGACACACTGTGGTAATCCCACCCTCAGCTCCACCGTGGAACTTGTGGCCGGACCTCCAGCAGGTCCCC